AAATGGATTAACACTAAAAAGAAAGCCTCAAGATACCAGTGGAAAGTTGCATAACTTTTGTTTTTGAGCATCATTGTGATACGTGGCATGCCACATGCATGCAGAGCTAGGTCTGCTGTGAGCAGGACTGCGCCCCACACTGGCGAGCTGCATCTCGCCAATGTGGGGCGCCTAAATTAAAACTATGCCAGGCCAAAAGAACATGTTTGTTGTCAACGCAACTCAAGTTTTTCTTTTATTATGCTTCTAAACCATTATTAGTTCACAAAACACTTGTAGTGAATAACTTTTTTTGATCTCCATGTGTTTTCTGTCATTTGAAGCTTAAATCCACACCTTCAGAATCTGTAAGTAACTCAAAATGTCCTGAGTTATTCATGATTTTATTGTGGCCAGTATCATTTACAAAACAGTGTCACCCTCCACAGTAGGAGGAACAACGAGTGAAGACACTAATGTTTTAATTTCAGGTTGTTCAGATTGAGAGGGCAATTTCACGTTTGAGTGTTTTTTAAATGAGGTAAGCATTCCTCAGCCTGCAAAAGTTTGAGAAAAGTTTGCTCTATTATTGGTGGATGTCAGTTAACCTATTGACCTCTTCGGATGTTTAGTTTAATAGAGTTAACATTATTTACTGCTGCTGAAACTGTTTTGAACATAAGAATAAATTGCATTTAACATTTTAAAACACAACTTTCTCCATTTCTACTTTCACACCGTGTTTGCAGAAACCTAAATCACATTTTATTTTATTTCTTGTTATAAATATAAATGCTTTTTAAGTCTCCAAGTCAACTTTGACGCCTTTACTTCCCATCTCCTCGGATAAGAAACTTAAAAAACATATCCAGACTTAGAGTACAACTGCAGAAAGTTTCACGCACAGAAATTATGATTCAACAAGCAGAGGAATGTAAGAGGTTCCTCAAGGCTCCATTCTTGGGGTAATGTTCTTTAATATGTAAAAATCCACCAGTCATAAATTACTGAGTGAAGCTTTTTTTGTTTCTTCCCTCTTTTGATTTTTTGCACCATCTCTGTAAAGTCTATCAAAACTTCACATCATTTCTTGTCAGTAGACCAAAACTACTTGATAAGATGTTGAATTTTTTAGTGCACAGCAGGTTTTGGTGCTCAATTCCGATTTATTCAAGATTTTTATTTTCTGCGTGATTATTCATACTACTAATTAAAGCCGACCGCAGTGAGACTTCTGTACAACCTGCACATGTGGAACAGAAATATAGACTTCGCTGTTTATGGACGGAGCCGTTTATGGATCAATTTTAAAGTTTATTCAGCAGTATCCTCACAAGATCATAACAAGATGAAAGAAGATAGTAAATAGAAAGCATAAATAATAGAAACGGCATTTTGTGGACCGTCGACCGCAACGTCTGTAGAGGAGTCTGTTTAGATGTTTAGAGATTGAGAGATGATGCCCTTCACCAATAAAATTTCTCTCAGGAGTTCATCATTTTTGGCCAGTTTCTGTCCAGTTTTACCCCATCTAGCTTTTTCTGTAACAGAATTATGACGAAGTATCACGTTAATGACATAAAAGTTGACTAAAATGACCATTTAGACTGCAGATGCATTGAAAACAATCGTATCCAAATTAGTTAACATGTAGAAGAGGCACTGATCTGGGGTGAAAAAATCTGAATCAGGCTATTCAGACTGATGTGAAGAAGTTGGATGTAAGCTGCGAATGTAGCCTTTCTGGCTCATTGGCTCCCATTGATGAAAAAACAGCACCATCCATTATAGCTTTCGTAAACACTGCTATCTGATGTCAAAGTTCTTCTTCTGCACATGCATATCACTTTATTTATAGGTGAAATTGGGGAAAACAAAATTAAATCAATTACCATCTAATTGTTGTGAAATTATTTTATCTAGTTTCTTTTCATCTATTTAAAAACATGAATCAAATGTAAAAAATTTAAAAATTGCAAGTGAATCTCCATGTTTTGATGTTAAAGAGAGAGTGCTACAAAGAGCATCTGCAGCCTTTTTCTGCATTTGAAATCAGCCTTTCTCTACTCGCTCGAGTGTTGAGTGTCTGTGGAGTGACTGTGGAAACTTTCACACAGAACTGAAGATCTTTTTTTTTATTTTCAAGCAGCACTTATATATCTCAAGTGGCACAGTCCTGATGAATTCAAGGATTCTCTATTCTTCCAGTTTTGCATTTCTAGCATTTTTCCTAGCAACTTTTCAAGTTGTTTACAAGCGAGTGACATAAGGACTCTTCTCAAAGATCTCAACAAATTCAGCCTCCCTCATCTAAAAATTTAATTATTTCTTTTAGGTTTTAAAACCTAAAACATGGTATACAACCAAAATCATCCAGCTTTAATGTTGGCATTTGAAGGACTATTGGTTCTCTGAAGGATTCCTGGAAGTCGGTTAAGCTAGCGAGACATTTTTTAACACAACTTGCCTACTTCTCATTTCATGTTAACTTCAGAACAAAAGTTTAAGGAATGTTGAGGAATATGCAGTAAGTCTGTGTGCATCCCCTCTAACAAAGGGCTTGAAGTATCTTCACTAAATACCAGAACAATCACAGGAGTATTTACGAGTATTTACAGAAGTGCAGCCTTTCAAACATGCAAACCTGTGGTTTTACAGAACATTCTCAAAAGCAGAACTTTCTCTAAGTAAATTCTTAACACCATTGTTGCAAAATAAAGAGGTCCAACTACATGTCACATTTTCATAAACCTTTTTTTTAATGTGGATGTTTTAAGCTTTGCCTCATTGACACATCCAACATCACTGATGCTATTTATGGGAGCAGGAAGACCATCTGTGTGATCAGCCGACAATACCTGCGGAGTGAGTGGCGCTCCAGAGAGATCCAGATGGTCAGGTGGCGGTGGAGTGTTGCTTTTAAGTCTTTTTAAGCAGAAAGGGCAAAAAAAGAAATTGGCAACAGAAAGTGGAAGGTTGACTAGACATGTCGGAGAGCAGCAACACAATCCTGTGAGATTTGATGCTTGGACAAATTTAGTCTTTAGCACTAATGCAGCTTGTCAGATAATGAATGGACCTGGATCTTAGTGGAAAAATATTAAATATGTTGTTTACCTGACAAAAGAAGAATTGAATAAAAATAACAATTAATGAAAATAAATATTAGATTATGTAATAGCATAAGTTGTAAAATTTCCATCTATGATCAACCCATAGCACCACTGATCTTGTAATTTTCGATTTTTAATGCTGTGAACTTTTACATTAAGCCTTTCAAATGTATATGTGTTTTTCCAGGTGATAAATTGGCCAATGCTTAATTAAGTTGACTGAACAGCAAAATGCATTTACCTTGACAATAAGATCAGGTGGTTCACTTTACCCAACTGAAAAACAGCACTGGGGATAAGTGGCTAAGCACAATCATTTTTTAAATTCTACTTATAAACTTTTTTATAAGTAGAAAAGTGAGCTGAGACAATATTTGGTGTAACTGATGCTTTTATGGTCAAAAAACGCATACTCTCTCATTAAATCGCTGTTTTCTGTCCTGAATTGGAAAACACAAGTTATTTCCCTTGAGAATGCAGCACTGGCTGTCACTGTTTTAGGAACAGGGGTCTCATTGTTCCTCTTCTATGCTTCCTGTCGCAGCTCAGTGGAGCAGAGAAAGCAGAACCAGACATGAAGTTTATATCTGTCAAAACTCACGTTTTACTAATTTTACTGATTTGTTTCAATTTACACATTTTGCACTTGGCAGATTTAAAAGTGCTTTACCAGCTGCCATTTTATTAGCTTAATTTTAAGGCAAACAATTAAGCTCAAGTAATTATTAATTACACATTATAAAAAAATAAGTACCACTACTTTTAAATCATGGTTTGTGATAGAAGTGAGTTTTAGCATCACAGTTTTATACATGTTTGGAAACAGTAAAAACAGCAACAGCAAAATGCACTGGTTTCTTTTTACTAATTTGGAAGAGAAGAATAAAAACAAATAATATGAATTGAGCTGATATAATCGAGTTGATCGACACCCATTTTGTCTGATTTGAAGACGGTGGGTGGGCTGGTTGACCTTTGATGACCTCTAGAAATATCTTTGCTAGATATTACCTCTAATATCTTTAGAATGATAGAGCGCTCAAACAAAACATTTTGCTGCACAAACCAGCACAAACGTAGCACAAATGTTTGACACCAATTTTGTCTGATTGGAAGAAGTTGGGGGAGCCAACTTCACTCAGGTTGCCAGCCTTACTTGGATACAATTTTTTTGAGTTCTCTGCCAATCTCTGTTCTTCCTCTAGACGGACTCCTAGCACACCTCCCCACCATGAAAAGATATGGAGCCAACGTTAAAAAAAAAAAAAAAAGTTAATGTAATTGAATTAAGTGGGTGGAATTCACATTTACATTTCTTTAACATACCAACTTAATAAATTGACTTGGATTTATCATTTAATTTAATGTGTGAATAATTAAATCCATGCAATTAAAAACACAGAAATGGTGTTTTAATGATTAAAAACTTCCAATACATCTTTTTTTGTGCTTGATCCTATTATTTCCTCACAGAAGTACCACAAGTTTACCTCCACTGGCTACATTTTTTTACTCTATTTTTAATATGTTGTGTTGCCACACAACCCTTTCACTTCAGTAAACTTTTTTTGTGGAAAGACAACAGTGCATCTGAAAGAAGGAACTAAACCGATACATAATAAGGAAAAGGTCAAAATCCACATGGGGATTGTTTTGTCGGTGCATGTTACCACTAAAGAAAATTAACAACCTCACGTCAACTTATCCTGAAGACATTTTAAATATTTGTAGTTGACCTAATAATGTACACCATGATAAATACTTCCAGATATTATAATTGTAAAAGAAATCTGCATTATTTGTAAAATCATCTATATTTAATGTATCACATGCCTTGTGTTTTCTTTTTTTTTTTTTATTTAAGGAAGTCTCAAGTGAGATAGCAGACACATCCTTTCAGTCCTCATTTCTCTATTTTAGATCTAGAGATTGAACATGAACATCTGAGGACAATAAGTGAGTATCAAATACATTTATTAATCTCGTACCAACTGATAAATATAAAAAAAAGTTTTATTAACTTCCCATTTTTTCATGAAAATAAAACATTTATCTTTTAATGAAATTCAAGTTTGCCATTTAGATATGTGCAGGATCATTGTGTTATTATGTACTTATGTAAAGATATTTGCTGTTAGTAGGAAAACTCTTCGAGAATTAAATCAGATATTTATTTTGGACATATGTATCATAAAATGCTTAAACATGCCTATTAATGTCATAAAGTTACACATAAAATGTATTTAACATTTTTTTAACCTTCAGGCTTTGCTAACTTCAATACAAGCTTCAGAATGATATTTTAAAGACAGGAAAACATATTCATATTTCTAAATTCAAAGTTAAATAAAATTTATCTAGGTTAATTCCAGTCTTTCACATCACCCTGTTTAATCGGCTTGTATCAAACTTTAGTTCTTTGCCTATAAAGTCTGGTTCTTAGGTAAATTTGTCATGATAAATTTCATTTTGACAAATGGTTCTCATAATAAAATCCAATTAATGATCTTTTGGGGGGAAAAAATTATATAATTTGTATTGTCAGGATAATTATTTGTTTTGTTTTGGGGTTGTTGTTTTTTTACTATTTTGTCGGCATTAATAAATAAATACATTATAAAAATGTGATAAAATGGCTTAAAAAAGAGAAAGTCTAGTTTGTTAGATTGCACAATCAAACTTGATGCTGACAAAAAAATAAATAAATAAATAAACTCTGGTCAGCCTAAAAATCACAAGCGGGCCTGAGACCGCTCCTAAAGCAGGAAGCAGACTGCAGCACAGGGCATTATGGGTAAATGCATCCAAAACAAACATGTCAGAGGGAGAAATGACTGTTGGTCTTTTTCCAATGTTAAAAAATGAATTGTACAACCGCTAAAATCTGACACTATTCCATTTTTGTTTACATTTTGTAAAAGAGAAAGTTGCGTTCAGTGTTTTCTTCAGAGGTTTGCATGTTGTCTCCTTCAGTGTCTTGTGGTGCAGCGCCACCACAGGTGAGGAGGGGAACAGCTTTTTCAATTATTTTGGTCCGTTTTACTTAGTGCACTGTGAAAGAGAACCACAACCACTGAAAATGTTGCAATTACTGCAATTATTAATGCAAAATGTATTGCTTATTGTGCTCCACAGATTATCTCCATAACAAACTCATAAACTGAACAAGCATGGCTTTGCATTCAAATTTCATCCTGAGACTTTTCTTTCTCCTTCTTCACATTAATCTCTCTCTGACGTATTCATTGAAAAACTGTTCAATACTTTATGAGGACAACCCGTCCGCTGGCGTTTCTGTGGACTGTGTGAACAGGAACCTTATTTCCATCCCTGACGACATTCCCAAAGAGGCCGTTTCTATTGAGCTCAGGCGCAACAACATTCAGTCAATTAAAGATGATTTTCATGGCATGTCGAGGCTGAGATATCTGGGACTGAGGAAAAATAGCATCACTTCTGTGGATGATGGATGTTTCAATGATTTGGTTTCATTGGAAACACTTATGATGAGAAACAACAACCTCTACACCCTGACTGCAAACATGTTCCAGGGTCTGTCTAATCTCACCACGCTTGATTTAAGCTATAATGGTATTTGTTTCATTCATGGCTCTGCTTTTCGGTTCCTGACTAGCTTAAAAGTTTTGAACTTGGATTATAATGTGCTAAAAAACACTGCTGACATTCAGCCCATCTTTCAGCTCCCACAGATACAGAAGCTCAGCCTCAGATGTAACGATCTGTTGTCCTTTGAGAGCAAAAACTTCCTGCTGAACAAATCCTCAAGTTTACAGCAGCTGTTTGTTTCTGGTGACTCCCTGAGAAAGTTCAGCATCACATCACCCATCTTCCCTTACCTTCAGGTGGTAGAACTTTCAACATGTTCACAAGTAACCAAACTAAAATGGGACATATCTGACAAAACGTTACTAGAGAACATAACTCAGTTTTATGTTGAGGAGAACGTACTTTCCTTTAAAGGGGTCCAAAACGTCATGCAGAATCTCATCTCACTGAGACATTTTAAAGTAAATATGGTGCTCAGTTGGCTAAAGAGAGGACTGTTAACTACTGTCTGCAAAATTCAATCACTGAGGAGGCTGGATTTGTTCTACAACAATATGAAAAACGTGACTTCGAAACTTGCACCTTGCTCTCAGCTCACAGAGCTTTACCTCCAGGTAACTAATTTAAATGAACTGACAAATGGCTCAATACAATCGATGAAGATGCTGCAGGTCCTAAATATGAGTGACAACAAGCTCACCAGAGTTTCTTACGACATTAGGAGACTCGCCTTCCTTAAGATCTTGCACTTGGATAACAATTTTATCTCAAAGTTGGACTGTGAGGATTTTGAGAACACAACTCATCTCGTGGAGCTTAATCTGAACACAAACCAGATTCCAAGTCTGGAGAAATGCGTTTTAGAGCATCTTACTGAGCTAAAGCATTTAGATCTGGGTTACAATAAACTGGGAGTTTTTGGAGACACATTTAAAGTTGCCCTGCATAAGCTCGAATTCTTGGACATGAGTGAAAATGATATAAAAGAAAAAATATCTTCAAATACTTTTGAGGGTTTACAGTCCCTAAGACATTTAAATATGGCAAGTGATGATATAATAATGATTGAAACATTTCCAGAATTCAGAAACTTGGTGGACCTAAATGTCTCATTCCCATCTGGGTATAAACCTGAACTTCAAGGATTGCAGCGCTTGGAAAATCTTACCGTTTACTTTGGAAAAGGTTTTACTTTTAAAAATACATATCAAAACAAACATGGTGGCTTAAATGATTTAAAGTTGTTAAAATCTCTCACAGTGATCTGCTGCAAAGACTTCCCCTGTCATAAGAACCTAAAGGAAATGCTTCAAGCCATGGGACATCTTGAAGCATTCGAAGCTGTGGATGTGTTTGAGGTAGCTCCCGATGTAGATACATTTCAGTTCAACCCCCATCTCAGCAGCCTGACATTAACAAACACTGACATGTCCGATGTAAAACCTGAACTGTTTCGACCAATCCCAAACCTGCAGAGACTGGATCTAACCAACTCAATGCTGAGATCTATGGACTTTTTGCTGCAGGCCAACCTTTCTGCTCTCAAATATCTGAAACTGACAGACAATAAAATTATTATGATCAATGAGGCTGTTTGGGAAGCTCTCCCATCTCTAACATACTTAGACCTGAGCTACAACCTGTTCACCTGTGAATGCTCAAATGCAGGTTTCATCCAGTGGGTGAAGGCCAACAAGCAGACACAAGTGGTAGACGCTTTTCAATATCAATGTTCCTTTCCGGTCAGCAAAGAAGGAACCTTGCTATTAGATTTCCATATACAGTCCTGCTTTAACAATGCCAGCTTTCTCTGCTTTATTTCCACCACTTGTTTAGTCGTTCTAACTCTCCTCACATCCTTGGTTTACCACTTCCTAAGGCAGCATCTAGTCTATGCATTCCACCTCTTCCTGGCCTTTCTCTACGACACCAAACGGAAGAAGAAGAATGATGGTCATCAGTTTGATGCCTTTGTGTCGTATAACGTCCATGATGAGGACTGGGTTTACAGAGAGATGATTCCAGTGTTGGAGGGACAGCAGGGCTGGAGACTCTGCCTGCACCACAGAGACTTCCAACCAGGTAAAATAAATTCTTCTTCATTTGTGTTACAAACTTATGAGACGTAACGCAGAAGATTTAAACCTGGAGTGTGTATGATACTACAACATGAGATAGGTAATCTGAAATAAATCTGTGTTAACTACTGAAATACAAAGCTTGGTTAGAACAACCAATCAGAGGCAGGAGGAGGATCTTAGCGCTGTCAATCATCCTTGTGTAAGCACATAAAATAAGTTCAGAGAAGCTAATAATTTATTGATCTTCAAAAGGGGGAAATGTGTTTGTCCCAGCATAGCACAGAACAATAAAAAATAAAAATATATAGATAGTATTGTATGATGTGTGCACAAGCTAATATGCTGTCAAAAAAAATTATGTGTTCATTATAGGTAAAGAAAGCTCTTTTTAAAGCCCTTTGTACTCCACTATATAAAAATAAAAAATATAATTTTGTTTTCCGTTTCATATTATACTGACACAACACTGACAGTTTTAGCAAATAAGTAAATATTCATTTAAAAAAGTGCTTTAAATAAAAATAAAATTGACATTTTACGGTTTACAGTTGGGTAGCTTCAAAATATCCTGAAAACATTTTAAATTGATACTTAAACAAACAGGCCTTTTTGGGTGAGTGTCTCTTCAAAACAGCTGGTTTACTGCAGTTCTGTGCCCACAGGTAAACCCATCATAGAGAACATCACTGATGCCATTTACTGCAGCAGGAAAACCATCTGTGTGATCAGCCGCAGCTACCTGCAGAGCGAATGGTGCTCAAACGAGTTTCAAATGGCCAGGTGAGGATAAGTGATAAGATATTATTCAGACAGGTAGAGAAAAAAAATAAGCATTGCATTGTGGGCCATGTTTCTGAAATGGTTGCCATGTTATGACTACTGAGCAAAGTTTTTGGTTACTAAAAGAAGAAGAAGGCAGATATGATGAGATTAACAGGCAAGCAGATGTAATTTGATAACACTTTATCAGAGAATAATTTAATATCTGTTGTAAATACCTTCAAACTATTCTCAAACTAAACTGTACAATACACACTGAAAGCATTTATAGGAACATAAGATAAAAATTAACCTCCAATAATGGCAAATCTTAAGATAATCTTTACTGCAAAGTGGAGGGCAGCATTTCTCAGGTGCTCTTTGTCTAATAATTAAATTTATCCGATGATCTGAAGCATATGTCACCAAAAGCAAAAGGATAAATTACGTTTTCACAGCTGCTGAAAAGCTTTCTATTTAACAGTAATAATTTGGAAAAATATCTGTAGCATGTATTTTGTTTGCATGTCTTACACTACAAGAAAGCATAAAAGCTGAGTTAAGTGCTCTGTTGAGTGAATAATTTAATTTTTCTTCTATTTGGTTGCAGCTTTCGCCTGTTTGATGAGAAGAAAGATGTTCTGATTCTGCTGTTTCTGGAGGAGATTCCTGCTCATCATCTGTCTCCGTATTACCTGATGAGGAAGGTGGTGAAGAAACGCACCTACCTGAGCTGGCCTCAAGCTGCACAACATCCGGGAGTTTTCTGGAAGAACGTCCAGAGAGCTCTACAGGCAGAGGGCGCTGTCGCTGAACCAGTACTGGCAGCACGCTGAAAGAAGCGGCCAAATGGAAGTTTATTGTGAAAGTTTGCAGCATAAAATCAAGAAAAGGGAGAAGAGGAAAGTCACTTTGCTTTTGGGGGCTTTGTATGAAAAAGCTAAAAGTTAAAATTAATATTTTGTCTAAACTCCAATTGGGAAATGGCAAAAGTTTTACTTAAATCTACTTTATCTTTCTGATAAAGAATCTTCAGAGTATCATTAATTTAACGCAGAATACTTACTTTAATGTCACTGCACACTCATAAAAAATTTGTAGTTATTCAAAGCTATTTTCACCTGGATCTCTTACTTAATTATGAGAACCATTTTCTTTAATGATGCCTTTTAGTTAAAATCTTTGTGTTAATGGTTTACTTACATTAGGTTTCAGAAATTATATGTTTGTCAATAAAGGTAATTTTGATTGTCTAAGGTAGAAAATAAAGGTAGACAGAGAACTGTCTAATAAACAGCCTTTAGTGCATTTTCATAAATGATTCAATAAATGATTGGATATTTAAGTAATTCACATAAACCACAGCTAATAATGTTTGCTTCTGTAAAAAGTCATTTTTATTAAACAAAATTGATTTTGATATGAATGCTGTTTAAAATTTAAAAACAATTATAATGCATAGAAAATATGAATTTGTCTTTTCATAGTTGTTCCTGAAGGTTCAACAGCGCCCTCCAGTGTCTGGTTTATTTACTGCAATGTAAATATGTAAACAGTTCGTTCCACATTTTCAGGAAAATTAAATAAGACAATGTGAATAATTTCTACTGGCTGTCTGTTACTTTCAATCAAATATTTTTAATTGTTTTGTAGCTTTTTTGTATATCATCTAATGTGGGATATAAGAGGGAGGTTTGTCCCCAAAAGTAGTAAGTCAACAAATCACACATTTTCAATGATCCAGATGTCTACTTTAGAGTGAAGTTTATTTTGGAGTAAGATCAGTAAATATGTGTATTTCATCTTTATTTCTTTTTATACAAACCGATAGGTTTAGTTTTAATTTTTACCTCATTCATGTGAAGAGGAACAAATACAATAAACTGCAGAGAGAACAATGAAGTTCACAGAATTTGCATCTTAATGTTTTAAATTCAAAACACTTTTTTGACAGTCCTGACGATCTGTTATACAACAATATGTGTGAAACAAAATGTGACCCTTGTGTTTTATTTACAGTGTAAGGAGATAAACATTAAACATTTTCCAAACTTTAGAAATTTAAAGTCCTGGAAGAGTCCCAGACTGCCACACCTGTCACAAATAATAAAAGTTTTATTTATTTAGCTAATTTGTGGTTAAACTGAAATATTTACACTTATGGCAAAGCGGTATGAAGTACTGCCACCTGCAGTACTTTAAACCTGACAAACTCGACATTTTCCAGATTTCTTGTAGAAAATGCGCAATGAACTGACAGTAATGCATCAGTGCAAAAAAAATGTATCTGTGGATTTGTGTAAATTTTCATGGTTGTGGAATCACAAAAACTGGAGGAGTGATTTGGCAGTGAAAAGATGAAAACTTCTCTAATATTAAGGCACACAACTGTTGGGGTCACATACGATGCTGTGGTGGGCCAGATTTGGCCCCCACACCTCGAGTTTGACATCCAGGATGGGTACTGAACAAAATCTGGGTTCACTCATTAAACAGATGTGTTAAAGTCAACACAAATTGTGTCAAAAACCACATTAATGAGAGTTTTCTGGCTAAACGTCCGGAAAGCTCTGCAGACAAAGGACGAGCTCCTTGGTCCAGCTCTCCTAACTGGACCAACACAAAGCTGAGAGAAGTCAAAGAGTGTAATCTCATTGACAAGCTTCTACTTGTCAATGGGAAGATTTCTGAACAGAAAAATCGTAAATCAGCTTAGTTAGTTGCAAAGTTGATCCTTTGCAACTATGTCACTTCATCATTCGAGGCGCCATGATGGACGTCTGGAGTGAGGGATGGGAGAATTGAACACAGCGACTGAAATTGTTTTCCAAAGTTGTTTTTGCCAGTTTATTCATGGTTTCTTCTTGTTCGAATCAAACTGATTTCTCTGTGAACGTAACACACCTGGTTAGGGCTCACAGACGCCACATTTACAATAGTTGCAAACAGCTGGCTTGGAAACCGACCCATACGTCCTCCCTCCTAACATGTTGATCAAATGACCAACTTTGCCTGAATTTACACCACATGTTTGCATCACTGTGTCACAAACAGCGTTTCTCCTTACACCGTAGGAGCCTTTAAAACGAACAGAAGACGACATGCTAGCCAGGTTTTTGCTAGGCTACATGACGATGTGTCACTGTCTCCATGGTTACCAACGGTTAGACACGTATTTTCTCAATGATGCGATATTTGATATCTTTCTAATTATACTTACTTTTAAAGTATATGAACGTTAATCTTCTTACCTTGTAAAAAAGTGTTCTCTGCTAATCCGCGATAACACCGAGGGCTGCCAGTCATTGTGATTAACGGTTACTATCCGTCGCCACCGCCATCTTTCCTCATTAAAGGTTATACAATGAAATGACAAGATTGGTTTCTATCCTTGTCTGATTAGGCTGCCGACTGCGCAGCGTCCAGTTGCCATTTTCAAAGTGAAATCAACTAAATAAAAGCGATCTTTGGTTACCGGCTATCTGTTGTTTTGCAGAATTTAAATTAGAGTATTTGTTGTTTTCAAGTCCATCATGGCGGAGTGGGCGGAGTTATGAAGAGCGTCTCTTTGTCTAATAAGTGAACTTCCACAAGGATCAATGGACTCAATGAGACAAATTAGGTTTTTTAATGTGAGCTACAACAGGCTAAAAAAGATCCCACATGACATCAGGAGCCTCTCCTCCCTTGAGATCTTGATTATAAATGATAATATTATTTCTCACTTAGGCTGTGAGGATTTTCTGAACAACACACATCTTACAGAACTACACCTAAATGGCAATAGGATTGCCAAGCTGCAGAGATGCGTCATGGAAAGTCTTACCAACCTAAAGTTTTTAAATTTGAGCGGAAATTTGCTCGTGACGTTCAGAGCCTCCACCAATGTTGGCCTGCAGAAGCTTGAGATCTTGGATTTAAGTCTGAACTTTATAAAATGTCTTAATAATTATGATTTCCAAGGCTTACGGTCCTTGAAACATTTGAATCTGACATCGTACTTTAGGGAAAATCTAAAATATTATACATTTTTGGGTCTAAAAAGCCTAAAATCGTTTTCTGGATCAATTGAACTATATTCAATAAATTTGAGAACTTTGCCACAGTTGGAAAAGATTCAAGTTAACTTCAATTACAACGAACCTTTCAGAACTCCTCATTTAAATCCCTATGAAGACTCCATCGAGATAAAATCATTAAAAAGTGTCTTGATGACCTGCAGGTCTGATCACAAGGGTCTGTTCTACTTCCTGACAAAAGGAGTCTTCCGAAACATGAAACATCTGGAATATTTTAAGGCTGAGAATATTTATTTGAGTGCTCCATATTCAGACACGTTTAAGTTCAATCAGAAGCTGAGGAGTCTGATATTTACCAAGACAGATTTGTCAGAGATACAGCCTGAACTGTTTCTTCCAATCCCAAACCTGGAGAGTCTCGATCTCTCCGAGTCTCAGCTGAAGTCTTTGGATTTCCTAGTACAGGCTAATCTTTCTGCTCTTAGATATCTGAAACTGACCGGCAATGAGTTGAGTGTGATTAACACAACAGTTTTTCAGTCTCTACACTCTCTAACGTTCTTGGACCTGGACAAGAATCCATTCACCTGCGACTGCTCAAATGCAGATTTTATCCAGTGGGTAAAGAGCAACACGCAGACCCAGGTGGTAAACGCTGATCAGTACGTATGCTCCTTTCCTGTGTCCAGACGGGGGACCTTGCTGCTGGATTTTAATTTCCAGCCCTGTTTGGATGATGGCGGGTTTCTCTGCTTTGTTTCCAGCTCTTGTCTGGTTGTTCTGACTCTCCTCTCATCCTTCATCTACCACTTCCTGAGGTGGCATCTCACCTACACCTTCCACCTCCTCCTGGCTTTCCTCTATAACAGCAGGAAGGGGAGGAGAAGAGACCTTCACCAGTTTGATGCCTTTGTGTCGTATAACGTCCATGATGAGGGCTGGGTTCACAGAGAGATGCTTCCTGTACTGGAGGGACAGCAGGGCTGGAGACTCTGCCTGCACCACAGAGACTTCCAACCAGGTGAACTCAGGTTTTATCTCAGCTGTTTTAATCAGAGTGCTGATCGAGTCAAGAGAAGACGCTTTACATATATAGTTTTCCCCCAATGGTTTTCTTGAGAAAAATTAATTTCCTGATGGTTTTTGCAAGACGGCGAGTCACTTTCCTGAAAAAAATTTTCTGCATAATCTTTTTCCCAATAGTTTTCTCAAGATAACAAGTTAATTTACCATTTTAAACATATTTTATTCCCATGTTTTTCTGGAGATAAGTTAATTTACTGTTTTCCAATTTTTTTTCCAATGTTTCTTTATTTTTTTAAAACAGTGAGTTAATTTAGGGAAGACTAAGCCTCAATGGCTCATTTAATCGGCATAAAAAACATAAACAGTTTTATCATTATCTGTGTTTATTTCATATTTTCATTGTTTATTTTGAATCAGATTTTAAAGTGTTGCTGTTTTTATCATAACCCTCTTATATCACAGGTAAAGCCATCATAGAGAACATCACTGATGCCATCTATGGCAGCAGAAAAACCATCTGTGTGATCAGCCGCAGCTACCTGCAGAGTGAGTGGTGCTCCAGAGAGATCCAGATGGCCAGGTGGGGGCGCTGTTTTTAAAAAGTCACTATCAAGAATAAAGCTATTAAATATAAATATATCAGCTGTTTAGACTCTGTTTTATTGACCAATGTTGAAGCAACATTTTATCTATTATATCCATTTTATTATTCAGATGTGAAGCCTATGAATTTCTTTACCTATAGGGGGCAATGTTTCTCCATATATAATTTTATCTTTTAACAAAATATACATTTTTACTCTATATAAGATATTATCACTGACAGACATTTGATATTTCTCAACAAACAACAAATATATTCAACTGGGACATTTTTTTTTTGTATTTCTTGCTTTTTAAAGTTGATCACAAGAGACCTTAAAGTGTAATAAAATTACTTCTGAGGAACATATGCAACTTCACTCTTCAAAATAGGAAACATAAGAGAACATGTCATTCATTTAAACTAGTAATATTAATACAAGTTTAAAATAACTGGAGCTGGGACAGGAAACGCTCTATGAAGATGTTTAAGAACGTAAAAGGTTTCAAGTAATCCTATTGCAACAAACTGATTAATTTGTTTTAGTGGACAGAACACAAACAAAGCCCAAAATGTAACACGAGCCAAGGCTCTCCGATACTACAAAAACAAACAAACGAAGAAAAATTTGTTGTTTTCTTTTCCCCTTTTTTCTATATTATTCTGTCCAGACATAAAAACATATAAATATAACTTGCTCACAGTTTAGCTAAATGTGCTCTTCCTGCTCTCACATGAATTCATAAGGCCTGTATGTGGTTCCATATATAAATAGAGTGATAAAATAAGGTGTTGCAATCTGTAATATTCTGTTGTATATCAGAAATACTGATTAGTTTGCATTTGAAATCCTCTCAGACATACTTTACTTTGGATTTATGTCTTAAATAAAATGTTTTGATATCTTTCAATATCTTGAATTTCTTGGAAAGTGTTCTGCAACTATCAATCAGTGTTTGATAACTTTACAGTTTTTCTTTTGTCTGATTTCTTGCAGCTTTCGCCTGTTTGATGAGAAGAAAGATGTTCTGATTCTGCTGTTTCTGGAGGACATTCCTGCTCATCATCTGTCTCCGTATTACCGCATGAGGAAGCTGGTGAAGAAACGCACCTACCTGAGCTGGCCTCAGGCTGCACAACATCCAGCAGTTTTCTGGCAGAACGTCCAGAGAGCTCTGCAGGCAGGGGGCGATCTCGCTGAAAGCACCAACCTGCTGACCGGACCGGCAGGACGATGAGAGGCGTCACAGATCTCTAAGAAACAAAAGATAAATGAGGAAAACATCTGCATCTTGATCTGTAAAACCATCACACTAATTTCTTTTTATAATAATTTCAATGCTTAATGAAACTGAACATCTCTCCATGAACTATTATTTCTTTTAAAATACGATAAAACGCTGAACATGCCTACTGTCAGTATATCAGTGAGTTGCATTCATTCACAAACTCCTCTGGATGAAACAAAAGTACAAACAGAAGAAAACTGATGTGTTTCTATTATTAATTTGATTTTTTAGTGATGTGAATCTTTACTATAAAACATTTGAGCTGCACTTAGTCGTGTCTACTTCTTTGACTTCTAGTCTTTAAGTCAAATACATTTAGCCAGTTTTATATTTTGAACCTAAATGTGAGTTTGTGAAAGAAAAACCTACAGCAGGAAGTTGTGTTAACTTTTTATTAATTTTGTAAAACCTCAAAAAGTTTAATAAACTGGAGTTTTTAGGTTAGCACTTAAAAAAACTGAAACAAGAAACAGACAGGCGTGGGAACTGTTTCCCAGAATGCTTAGTGACATTTTTGTATCCTGACATGGAAGTACGTTACAATGATCTGGCTCTTGAGTGTTTTTTATTTTAATGTCCTGTTCACATTAAATGTTTCTGAGCTGAATTCATTGGGATCTTTTATAAAACTCATTTGCAGATCAGAAATTTTGTTCATGCCACTTAAAACAAAAATTTAAATTCTTCCAAAATAAAATGGGTATTTCTCCTAACTTCATATTGTGAATATAAATAATACAGAAATGTGGCTCTTTAATTAGGAGAGGTCAGGTTTTATTCTGGCATATTGTGAAATAATTACTTGGCTTAAATTGCAGCATTACATTTAAACTTGCAATTAATGAGTTATCAAAAATTAAAAAAATATGTTTAGACACTCATTTCTTGTTAGATCAACTTCATGAACTTTAATTTCCAAGTTAAAACTTTCATTTTCAAGTTAAACCACCTTCAGTATGTTTTACAGTGCTGCTGAATGACTGTTAAGTCATGCAGGGGTTTTACTTGCCTGCTTTCCTCTGTCCACTAGGTGTCACTGTCTGCTAACGGACGCCACATTTCTGGAGTTCAGATGGTTAACATGCGTTTATCAAACACTTAAACATTATTACTCTTATTTAGTATGATAAGTGCGCAGCATTAACCTGCTTTAATGGCAGAATAAATTATCTCTACTTCTTATTAACTAAATTTACCAAACATTTGGTGCATCTTGACTAAACTAAAGTACTAAAAAGCTGTTAGAGGAAATCATTGAACAGGACATGTATGACGAGCGTAGCTTCCTTTCTGGTGGTGTTAAGAAGTGAAGTGAAGCAGCTCCTCGGTTCAGACATTTACAGCTTTGGGCATCAAACTGTGAGTACAAATATCAGTTCTTAGCCTAATGTTATCCAACATTAAAGCATCTAATTTTGGTTGTCATTTGGTGTATCCAAAGCTGTTTGGATATGGCTTTATTCCAGCAGTTTCTACAATAATAAACCAATCAGTTGGAATAAACAGTCAATAACTACAAAGTTATTAGTTCATTTTACCTGAACCTCTCAGGTGAAATGTGAAAGGTCGTTAACTGAACTTGTTTAGTCCCGGTTTATTTCCTGCAAAATAAGTGCATGTAAATCCTTGGACCTCCTTCATGTGTAATATTTATACACTGTTACATTAATAATGCATAAATTACATTAGACTTTATGTTGGTTATGCTATAATTGTTTGCCATTCTTACATTTACTCTTTTTTGATACATGCAGGGATAAAATTCTCACTATGCATCAATAGAAGATTCTTTAAAGAAGGGTTAGATATTTTAGTTTTATTTGTTTAGTAAATTATTTTACTGACTTCCTCTTATTCACTGTCAGTGTAAAGTAAAGAGGTCTAATTATGTGACCATTCACACTACTACCTACTTTAAATAGATATTGCTTGTGGAGTACACAACCTATCATTTTGTTTTAAAACTGCAACTATCAGCCAAAAAAAACACTTTTAGACCTTCAAGAAGTTACAAAAATGTCTGACACCAATTGTTGCTAAGGCCTAACCAAAGTGTTATTCTTCTACTGCATTTTTCTTTTGCAGGTGATTATCTTCAAATAATAATCATGGCCTCTGTAAATACTTTATCTGTATACTTTTTTCTTAATCTTTTCTTTCTGCTGCTTCCTGTTAACCCTTTGCTGGCATTTTCATTGAAAAACTGCACAATACTTTACAAGGAGAACGTCTCTGCTGATGTTTCTGTGGACTGTAGAAACATGAACTTTGTGGCTGTCCCTGATTACATCCCTAAAAATACTGTGTCAATACAACTTGGACACAATCAGCTCTTAAATATTAATAAAAAAGACTTTTACGGCATGTCAAAACTGAAAAATCTGAATTTAAAAGTGAATCAAATTGCTTACATTGAACAAGGGTCATTTATCAACTTGGTTTTATTGGAGAGACTTGATATGGAAAATAACAAGCTTACCAGTCTGACAGCCAACATGTTTGAAGGCCTGTCCAACCTCACAGTTCTGGACCTCAGCAAAAACAAGATCCAGCATATTCATGAATCTGCCTTCCAGTGTTTGACCAGCTTGCAAACTCTTAAGATCTTCTCTATTCCACTTAACAAAGTTGCAGAAATTCTACCAGTCTTCCATCTCCCACAATTACTTAGACTCAACATAAAATACATCAGATTTACTACTTTTGACACCAAAGATCTCCCTTTGAATCACTCCTTGAGTCTTGAAGTGTTGAAAATTTCTAGTTTTAACTTGAAAATCTTGAGCATCATAGGGCCAATTTCCCCTCACCTCCAGACAATAGGCTTGTTACTCACAGACATAAAATCGGTGTTATTTGACAAAAGCTTACTAAAGAACATAACAAGCTTGGATGTTTCCACAGGATTAGTGTCTTTTGAAGGAATCAATGAAATTCTGGGAAGTCTTGAAAGACTGAGAGATCTAACGTTTGAATCTGTGGAAGGGTGGATTGCAAATGGTCTGCTATCTACAGTCTGCAAAATACAAACCCTCAGGAAGCTTACTATTTCCCAAAGCCATTTTCACAATTTTACTACTGACCTTGCATCGTGCACTCAGCTCAGCGAACTTAACCTGGAAGATACTTTCATGCAAAAACTGTCAAAAGGTTCAGTGCAATCAATAAAGCAACTGCGATTCTTAAATCTGGGTTACAACGTCCTCACCAAAATTCCACATGACATAAGGAGCCTCTCTGCTCTTGAGATCCTGATTATGTGTAGAAATGACATCTCTGATTTGAAATGCAATGATTTTTCCAACACCATACATCTGAAAGAACTTTACCTGAATGGGAACCACATATCCAAACTGGAAAGGTGTGTTACTGAAAACCTCGTCAATCTGAAGGTTTTGGATATGAGTAACAATGAGCTGAACAGATTCGGAGACTCTTTTAAAATTTCCCTGCAGAAACTTGAGGCCTTAGATATCAGCAGGAACTCCATACAGTATCTGGACAAAGATGTTTTTCAACATATGAAGGCTCTCAAAGAACTGAAGGTGGAAACCTATCATATTGTAGACGTACCTTATTTTAGTGGTTTAGAGAACATTGAAAATTTAACAATCTACTTACATACAGACAGGACTTTCCAAAGTTTTCAATCAAACAATAATAAACCCTTTAGTGATATTAAGACAATGAAGCAGCTAACTTTAATTGGAAGAGGCAATACCCAATGGGTGCCCTTACATACAATTAGTGAAATGCTCAAAGCTTATGGAAATTTGGAAACCGTTACAGTTTTGAATATCTATATAAATTACTACGAAGTGGAAACATTTGAGCTGAACCTCCAGCTGAAAAGTCTGACCTTATCATTGACGGATTTGTCCTACATCAGCTCTAAATTTTTCCTACCACTGCCAAACCTGCAGAGCCTGGATCTCTCCAAGTCTAAACTCAGGTCTTTGAATTTTCTGGTCCAGGCCAACCTTTCTGCTCTCAGATATTTGAACCTAACGCACAATGAGATCGATGTTATTAGCGAGACAGTCTTCCAGTCTCTACCCTCTCTGAGATTCTTGGATCTAGACAATAACCCGTTTTTATGTGAATGCTCAAACGCAGGCTTCATCCACTGGGTAGTGACCAACCCTCAAACCCAGGTGGTAAACGCTCATCAGTATAAATGTTTCTTTCCTGCAGACAAACAAGAAGGCTTGTTGCTAGAATTTGATGTTCAGTCATGTCGAAACAATGGCAGCTTTCTATACTTCATTTCCAGCTCTTGCCTGGTTGTTCTGACTCTCCTCACATCCTTCGTCTATAAGTTCCTGAGGTGGCATCTCACCTACACCTTCCACCTCTTCCGGGCCTTTCTCTACGACAGCAGGAAGGGGAGAAAAAAAGACCCTCATCAGTTTGACGCCTTTGTGTCGTATAACGTCCATGATGAGGACTGGGTTTACAGGGAGATGCTCCCAGTGTTGGAGGGACAGCAGGGCTGGAGACTCTGCCTGCACCACAGAGACTTCCAACCAGGTAAACTCTGTATTTACCCTTTGGACGTTACGTCACGCTCTCCATAACTACTCCCCTCCCGCATGACGGACGTCAAAACAGCCAATGCTAGTCTAAAAACAGACATCTGTAACCTAATATTGCCTCTATTCAGACTGCCATGAAAAGATCAGATACAGGTTGCCTTAAGACAAAAAATTGCAATGTGAACGCAGCCTTCAGTGACAAATATGTTTTATAAACGTTACATACTGCAGCTTTAAACACAACCAATTTCTTATTTACGTTTTGGTATTCCTTTCATTTCCTGCCATGAAAAACTTCAATCAAATAACAACTAATGCATCTGTACACAGGAAAACCCATCATAGAGAACATCACTGATGCCATCTACGGCAGCAGGAAAACCATCTGTGTGATCAGCCGCAGCTACCTGCAGAGCGAGTGGTGCTCCAGAGAGATCCAGATGGCCAGGTGGGGGCGCTGTCATTGAATAATGAAAGGATAACAATTCTGTCTTCAAGAAAAGATGATAGAAGTTTTTAAAGAAAACATGGGAAAAAATTTACATTTTATGCAGTTAGTTATGGATAATCTGAAATTGTAAATGTCTGCAAAAGATAGGTAAGAGCAAAAATATGCCGTGCACCATTTTACATGCAGGTCGTTTTTGCGTATTCAAATTTCTAGCGCAGCGATTCACTGGCAACACCTACAGGCTGTTCTAGAAAACCTGAGATTTGTTTTTTGAGAGAACTTTCAGCCAAATTATTATAATTTTAGGTTGAATTTAAATGTTTCTTTGTTTCCACTACTGCCACCTGCTGACATGGTGTGGGTATTACAGTACTTTTCATTGTTAGTGGGCCAGATGAAATAATAGTCTGCTGAAGGAGGGAGCAAATTAGCAAAGTTCCCATCACAGACACAAATTATTTAAGTGATACTATTCAAATCAAATCAAATTTTATTTTTATAGCACATTTCAGCAACAAGGCAGTTCAAAGTTCTTCACATCATAAAAACACACAAAAAAAAATCAACAATTTTCTTGATTACATTTTTAATTTACTTTTTTACAGTACATTTTCCCAAATGCTGTCCAACATCAAGATGTTGGTTAGAGTTTCATTCATAATGTTTCAAAAGAAACTCTAAACAGTTGGATTTAAAGACAGTGTTTCAGCTGTTTTACAATTTTATGGAAGTTTGTTCAAGAAGAGCTGAGTGGTCTGGAAGGTCGATTTTTATGTTTTTAATATTTTGTTTTGCAGCTTTCGCCTGTTTGATGAGAAGAAGGATGTTCTGATTCTGCTGTTTTTAGAAAACATTCCTCCGCATCATCTGTCTCCGTATTACCGCATGAGGAAGCTGGTGCAGAAACGCACCTACCTGAGCTGGCCTCAGGCTGCACAGCATCCAGGAGTTTTCTGGCAGAACGTCCAGAGAGCTCTGCAGGCAGGGGGCGCTCTCACTGAAAACACACACCTGTTGACCGGACCGACAGGAATTTGAGAAATATACAAAGACTGTTAATGTAACTGAAACATTAAGAATGAAAAAAAGAAGTCAAGTTACACATCATGTCATTATAACATTTAAAAGCCAGATTGGCTGTAAACATTGTTTTATGTTTAACGTTGTTTTTCCTTTTTCCAGGGTGAATTAGTCGTTTCTTGCTATCGTTAACCTAAGTTTTGGGTTTACATCAGGTTTGTGGTGTATCTTCATGAATTGCTTCCATCACATGTGCCAAACTCAAGGCCCAGGGGCCAAATCTGGCCCGCCATATCTTTTTGTGTGGCCCTTCAGACTCCAAATGAACACTTACTTAGAACAGTCAAGATAACAGTGTGCTTAAAAAAGATTTTATCAATCAATTTAAACACAGTTTTTCTTTGTTTACTGCCAGATTGAATCAATTAGTTCCTCTAAAGTCTTGTGAGTTATTGTGAAAATTCACCTAAATGCATCATTTTGAGTTTATTGCAAATTTTCTGGAAAATTGGTGAAAAGATTGCAGTACTCCCACCTGCAGGTGGCAGTATTTCTTACTTCCACTGAATAGCTGCCTCACTTAAAGTTACAATGCATAAATATATGGCAAGCACAAATTTTATTAATTATTACCACAAACACTTTTTTATTGCAAAAAAAAAATCACGAAATCCTTGAATGATTGAAAAGATGTTCAATATTATGTAATTTGAAGAATGTACTTATATTTTAACAGTTTAACTGGTTGCAATTCATTCTGGCACAACCGTCTCTTTAAGAACATTCATGATCTTGGTTCACATAGTTATTACTTAAAGCTTCTGATGACAATTTTAATGTTTTTGCATTAACTATTTTTATATTTTTGCTTTGTATTTAGTACAGTTTTTCATAAATTTTTTAAATTGGAAACAGAAAAATAAATAAAAACAATGAAAAGATTAGTGGTCTTTGCAATGTAAAGTTCTTCAAGAAGTTGTTGCTAAAATTGATGCTGTGGGCAGAATTTAAATTTGTACTTTTTTCTCAGTTCCTTAAATGAAATGAGGAAGAACGAATCTGTAAATAAAACTTAAGTTACCACAAACATTTATGGTGTGTGGTTGTTGCCCATTACTCATCCTTTTGTTGATTGTACTGCAGGCGGAAAAAAGTGGCTGAATGTATTGTAACGAAAAAGATAAACTTACAAAAATAGAGAGATGGCATAGGGATGCAAGGAGAAGCAAACGGTAAGAGGAGAGAAGAAAAAACATGAATCAAACCATAAAAAGGATGATTAAATACTAGAAATAAATAATAAAGATGATCTGACACTAAGAACAGACTGAAATAATCAAAGAAATATACAGAAAAATACCAAATGGTTGTTTTTATGAATGCTGAACCTGACACCTCTACACTATATTCCACAGTTGTTTTTACGCTAACTTTGTTCATATGATATCCAAATATTCACACTGATATCTAAACTTGAAATACCGCCCACAGTGAGTCGGTCTTCATTTGAGGGTTTCAGCGAAGTAAAAAAAGTGAAACAGAGGGAGCGTATGATAAGACATGTGGCTTCCTGCTTGTGCATTTAAAGACCGAGACATAACACAAATCTAGAAAGAACCTCCAGTGCCAGTTCAGAATAATGCAACGCAGACATCAAATGTGAGTAGCAGAAACATTTACTCTTCTTTTTATTATCAGCAAAAACAATGGACTTTTAGGTTCAGTCATTTTTATTGAAAAACTGAAATATTTTTTTTTTGCCTGATATTGTTATTTTTTGTTACTTATTGTCTTTTTTATCCTTGAAATACCAAAATTTCCATATAACTTTATGCTGTTGTCCAGATGATGGGGTAATGATTGATCATTTGAAGAAGTAGAAGAATAACACTTGAGTTGAGCTTTTACCCAATTTTTTAATTGTTTTTTTTTTTTGCTTCTACTTGAGGAAATATATGTTGAAGTCGTGCTACTCTACCATCTCCGATCTTACATTTGTGTATGTTTTGCATGCAGGTAATTATTCTTGAACGACATTGTCAACCACCTCAATCTAAAGAAATGGCCGCTGCCAGACATCCGTCTTCATGCTTCATTCTACAGATTCTCCTTCTTGTTGTTTATTTCAATTTTTCATTTCCTTACGTACTGAAAGAATGCATTATCCGTTACCAGGAGAATCCCTCTGCTGATATAGCTGTGGACTGTGCAAACAGAAAAATTGAAAACATCCCCAAAGACATCCCCAAAGATGCAGTTTCACTGAACCTGAACAACAACTGGATGCAGAAAATTAATGAAGGAGATTTTTCTGCCATGTCAAAGTTGAGAACTCTGGATTTAACATCAAATCAAATTGCTCATGTGGATCAAGGGTCTTTCATTGGTCTGATGTTTCTACAAACTCTCTGCATGGGAAATAACAAACTTGATGTCCTGACAAACAATATGTTTCAGGGTCTGGACAAACTTACTGTTCTTTTTCTCAACAACAATGGTATTCAGGTCATTCATACAAGAGCGTTCCAGTTCCTCACTAGCTTACAAACTCTAGATTTAGGAAACAACAGGCTTCAACAGATCACCGACATTCAGCCTGTCCTACAGTTACCTCAAATCACGACGCTTGGTCTTAAATGCAATGGGTTTTCTTCCTTTGAGACCAAAGACCTGGAGCTGAATCAGCCGTCAAATCTGAAAGAGTTGGATATTTCCGGTGATTCCCTGATCATTTTCAGCATCTCTACACCCGTCTTTCCTTTCCTCCAGAAAATAGAGATCTCTATGTGTTTTTGTTATAAAGACCTGCAATGGGAAATCCCTGACAAACAGCTACTGAGGAACATATCGTATTTATATCTTGGGAGGTCTATTCTTTCTTTTGAAGGGATCACAAAAGTCCTGGAGAGTCTTGACTCTTTAAGCCATCTTAGGCTAGAAGCCCTGAAGATGCATCTTTATGAAGGACTGTTATCCACAATATGCAAAGTACCAACACTGAGGAAGCTGGATTTGTTTAACAGCCATATCAACAATTTGCCTATTAAACTTGAACTTTGTTCTCAACTCACAGAGCTTAATATCAGGAAAAGCGATGTAGGCGAACTCCCTCAAGGGTCACTGGGGTCATTGAAGCATCTCCAATCGCTAAACATTTGTGACAATCAGCTCAAAAAAGTTCCACATGATGCGAGAAATCTCAGCTCCCTTGAGATCTTAAATCTGAATTACAATTACATATCAGAGATGACTTGTGAGGACTTTGAGAACACAACACAACTGACAGAGCTTCACCTGAAGAGAAATCGCATTAGCCAAGTGGATGACTGTGTTTTTCTAAATCTTGAAAACCTAAAGCTTTTGGATCTGAGTTTTAATCGACTGTTGACTTTTGAAAACAACATTGTTTTGCCAAAGGTTGAAATTTTAAATATAAACCACAATGAAATAGCTTTCCTAAAGACGCTTGATTTTCTTGGTTTCCAATCCCTGAAACAGTTGGATGTAGGAACAGCTTTCTTTGATGACATGACACAAAGATCCTTTCATAAAGTTAATAAACTGGAGAATATTATTTCATCTCGTGACGAAATATGGGAATTAAAGCTCTTGGAAAATCTAACAATAGAATTGAACCCTGAAAGCCTTTTCAGCAGTCTTCAAACAAACTATTCTAGAGATATTGTGATTTTTAGATCAATGAAAAGATACACAGCAATATGCAAAAGATTTTGCTTTCCATATCAATTAGCAAATATACTCTGGTCTATGAGATATTTGGAGAATTTTACAGCTGTCAATATCTTTTTTGAAGCTCCTCCTGCAGGCATGTTTTTGTCCAATCCCTACCTCAAGAGTGTGACATTCACAGAGACTGATTTTTCAGTCGTGGATCCAGAACTCTTCCTTCCAATCCCAAACCTGCAAAGTCTTGAGCTTTCCAAATGCAACATCAGCTCTTTGGGTTTTCTGGTGAAGGCCAACCTTTCAGCACTCAGATACTTGAAACTGACTGACAATGAACTTGATATGATTAATGACACTGTATTCAAGTCTTTCCCCTCCCTCACGTACTTGGACCTGGACAACAACCCGTTCACCTGTAACTGCTCAAATGCAGGCTTTATCCAATGGGTTAAGGACAACAAGCAGACACAAGTGGTAAACGCTCATCAATATAAATGTTCCTCACCTGTGGATAAACGAGAAAGTTTGTTGCTGGAATTTGACGTTCATTCGTGCTGGGATGATGGCAGATATTTCTACTTCATTTCCAGCTCTTGTCTGGTTGTTCTGACTCTTCTCACATCGTTCATCTATAACTTCCTATGGTGGCATCTCACCTACACCTTCCACCTCTTCCTGGCCTATTTCTATGACAGTCAGAGAAAGAAAAAGGAAGTCCTTCATCGGTTTGACGCCTTTGTGTCCTACAACGTCCATGATGAGGACTGGGTTTACAGGGAGATGCTCCCAGTGTTGGAGGGACAGCAGGGCTGGAGACTCTGTCTGCACCACAGAGACTTCCAACCAGGTAAATAAAGTCTCTTAGCTTTTTCATTTTCATAACAAAACTGTTGAATGACCGATGTGGTGCTGCGACAGACTGGCGACCTGTCCAGGGTGGAAAATTACCCGTTTCAAAACTCTTCACCTGGCCAGGTCACCTCCACCCCGTTAGCTAGCAACCTCAGGCAAAGCCCAACACGTCACCTAGCAATTCAATCCGCGTTCAGATCACATGCTGCACAATGTCTGCTGCAAAAGAAATGTTTTGTTTTATGCTCCTGGCTCACCGTTCAGAAAGCATTTGATGCATTCTTGTTTTTTGTGCAGATGTACGGTTGCATAGCTGCACATCTGTTGGCAGCCATTTTTAAATTATGGCTGTCAGATAGAAAACTGCTGCTAGGTGGTCACAAATTTACTGGTAAACTTCAGTTAATAAGTGAAGGAAAGTTTTGCACCAGAAAAAATGTTTGTTTCAATTTAATTGCGTCCTTTTAGAAAATAAAATTATTTTTTTTCCTTTTTTTCTAAGTTAACATTCTTGGTGGTTGTTGTGATATTTTCCTTGCAAAGCACAAATTATTTCAAAAAACAAACAATGACTATATGTTAAGCATAAATCTTTCATCAGGAAATTAACCCGATTCATGACATCATCAGTGGAAGGTCTTAATGACAATAAAAAAACAATCATTTAATTGATTTTACCTGTCAATTTGTGTGTTTAGCAATTCTCTTTGTGTTTGATAATATCCACAGGTAAACCCATCATAGAGAACATCACTGATGCCATCTACGGCAGCAGGAAAACCATCTGTGTGATCAGCCGCAGCTACCTGCAGAGCGAGTGGTGCTCCAGAGAGATCCAGATGGCCAGGTGGGGGCGCTGCAACAAGAATAGAGTTTTATATGCATCACCAACTAAATAAATCCAGATTTTCAAATTGTAATGTGGGAACTTAATGGAAGAGGATACAAGGTGCTTTTAACATATATAGAAATATATGTTGAAATATATACTTTAATGAAATCTATAAATCCTTAAAGATCCGAAACATTAAAACGGCTTTGGGCTGCTGCTTTTATTAAAAGAAAAACACAATTTAAAAATATTTGGAGTCATCAATTTAAATCTGGTTTGTTGGCCAAATGTTTACAGATGTTGACTTTTAGTCAGGGGGCTGATAGAAATCATTTCAAGGCCCACAAAGGGCCCCTGCTCCAAGTGTTTCCATCTTTATTGTGACAATCAGGGTTTACAGCTCATGAAAATTAAATACATAATAGATATACACAGATTCTGAGATTTATTGAGGTGGAGCATCTGATCAATGATTGAGGAAGAATACATGCTTTGTAATGTTGTTTTTTTAATGGCCTTTATCAAAATGTAAAATTTGTAATAATTTTGCAATTAGTTTTTTTATCAAATTAGCAATAATTCATTACCAGACATTGCCAGCTTTAGAACTAATCAATATTCACAAATATTGACAAATGACATCTCTCTTTCACCTGACTTCTTGTAGCTTTCGCCTGTTTGATGAGAAGAAGGATGTGTTGGTCCTGCTGTTTTTAGAAAACATTCCTTCTCGTCATCTGTCTCCGTATTACCGTTTGAGGAAGCTGGTGAAGAAACGCACCTACCTGAGCTGGCCTCAGGCTGCAGAACATCCAGCAGTTTTCTGGCAGAACGTCCAGAGAGCTCTGCAGGCAGGGGGCGCTCTCGCTGAAAACACGGACCCGCTGCCCTGAGAAAATGTAAAGAGTTGTGAGATCACAGTTGAAATCAACTATTCATTGACTCCATTGCGAGGTGTTAAAGGGGCAATGCAACGCAAAATGAATGTTTGTGCTTCACACCATTTTATGTAATCAAAAATGATACCTGGAGTTTACTCCAGGTATATAACCATTCTGCTCTGCAAAACGCCTGGGTGGTCCTAGCTCCGCCCTCGAGGCGCAGCTCCTTCTTGGAGCTTCTCGCGACTCTTCCACTCAGCTCTTCATACTTATTTTTTTTAAACATTGGTGTGCTCAAATTGACCGGATAAGAGAATGACTAACAGCAACAAAAATAAACAAAACAAAAAGGACTATACAGTTCCTTCAGACTAGCCAGCAGCTTTCTGACTGGTCTAACGGAGAAACAGTATCTCTGATGGTTTGGCATGGATGTAAATAAATGTCCAACCCACAAGACTATCCTTCAAACACCATAAAACTCCCTTAGCCTCATATAGTTAAGAAAGAGCTTTCGAGAATAAGTTATATTTGCAAATCAATGTTTTTCCTCATGTGTGATTATGAAGCATAACTTTGCACTGCCATCGTAAAAAACCTCCAGGCGCTGTCTTCCAATGTGCAACAAGTTAGCCTTTGCTCTTTAAGCAGCATACTGCAGTTCACAGTTTTTTTAGATGCAAAATGTTGATGAGTTTTGCTGTCAGAGGAACTGAAAGCTGGTACTTGCTCCCTTTTTTCTGATTCACAGTTTTTTGTAGACAGAATTAGACTGCGATGCATCTGTGCAAACTGGAAGTCACACATTTCATCGGCTTTCTGCGATGTTCCACTTTCTGACTATGAGGAGGATTTCAGCTGAAGTTAAACCCATTAAATTTAAGAGACAAAAGGAGCTCAGACTCAACCTGCCGCTACACCTGGAAAAAATGGCGGGTTTTTTTGTCATGCAAACACTGTAGAGCTTTGAAACTTTAGATGCTATTGTGTTGACATGTGGAAGAACAACATATAATGTATACAAAGCAAAATTTACAACTGTGTTTTGTTTTCTGTGCCATCTGTTCAGTTACATCTAGTGTTTTTTTATTTCAAAGTCTTATTCTCACCATGTAATTTTAGCCTTTGTCTTATTTTACTATTTTATTCTTTTGTTTAAAATAAAATCTTTAATTTTCTGTTTTCAACTTGCAGGATTTTGTTCCCGAAGTTTGTTCTATTTCGTAGAAAAATGTGAAAATAACCAACAAATAGTTTATTTTGCAGATGATATCATGTTGTACTCATGTTATATCACATGATTGTGAGGAAGACTGATCAGTTCTTATTGCCAAACTACAGAAACTAGAGAAGTTGGTTGGTGATAAAGGGATGTATTCAAGAATATTATTGGAAAGTTTGGTAGAAATGTGGTAGAAAAAGGCAAATATTAACCTTTTATTATGACCGCACAATAGTACTTTTTTTTTTTAAGAAAAAAAAATTATTGGTTCCCCTTTTTTAAAAGAAGTGGCACAATCAGAAACACAGCTCACACATCCCCTCTCTTAAAGTGACTGACGGTATTAAAGAAGAGCTTCAGTTCGGTCAGATACGACACAAACTGCTGAGGATCAAACGTGAGTATTGGAAACATTTATATTACTGTGTATTACTATACTATTATTAATTACAAAACTAATTCTAACTATGACACATTCAATATTCTTAAAAGTTGGATTGTTTTAAAAAAAATCTAAAATAAAAACATATTTTGATTTATTCAGATGCCTTTGTGGAAAATTTGGAAGAATTTAGGATTTCTGTGGATCAGATACCAGATAAAAAACTCAACAGCAACTTAGGGAGAAATTCCAAAACACTGTTCACTTTCTAGGAAACAGTATTGACTTCTGTTTTTGGGATTTTTTTTTTTTTTTTTTATTCCTTTTGGATGGAGGCATCATCAACTTTTGACACAGTTACTGTCCTAGAGCAACTACAACTAGATAATAAGCAGTTCTTCTTGTTACTGCTCATAATTTTAAGTAATTTCACAGAATGATTTTGAATATTTTAGTCAACTCTGTGTTAAACTGAATAGGTTAAGTAGTACAGCACAAGACAATGCGATCTACTACTGTTTTTCTTGTTAACTGCCCATGCAAGTATAGAAAAAATGCTGCAACTTTGGTTCTTCACATATGCAGAATATGCCACACCTCTGCAGGACGTATTGCCGAAAAGTCCTGCTCTGACGCCTGGTTTCAAGAAGTCCTACAGCCAGAGAATCACCAGAAACATGTAAACGGGAGGCAGGACCATAATAAAAATGTTACATTCCTATAGGTCTTAAAGTATAAAAGCTAAACTTGGAAAATTTAGAAAAATTTCACCAAAGTGGGTGGAGACAAAAAACAAGGCGGAGTGTGGGGATGGATGGAGATGGTTGGGGGTTCAGGATGAAAGAAGCACTGCCCTCAACTTACAGAGGTAGACAGAGTACCCAAAAATTAAACACAAGTAAGGACAGCACTGCTTCAATGTCTTTTTACTCAAGGGAATGTAAAAAGTGGCCTTCCAGGAAATGACGAAAGTAAGAGTAAAGAAGTAACTGATCAAATTACCAATCACTTAATATTTAAAAATCACAAAATCAGAAGGAAGAAAATATAAAGTGAAGTGGAAATTTTGGTTTAATGCTCAAAGTACAACTTTACAACTACAAATAAATTATGAATTTGTGTAAATGTCTTTGCAGGTGATCACCGTTGAATGATAAACTTGCAGTTATGGCCACCAAAGGAAGTTTGTCTTCACTCTGGATTCTGAGACTTTTCCTTCTTCTCCTTCATTTTAACCATTTCCTGCTTTATTCTCTAAAGAACTGCACTATACTTTATCAGGAGAATCCGTCTGCTGATGTCTACGTGGATTGCAAAGAGAGGAAACTTTTAGCTATCCCTGATGACATCCCTAACGATGCAGTTTCATTAGAGTTTGGTGGGAATGAGCTTCGAAAACTTAAACGACATCATTTCCGTGGTTTATTCAAACTGAGGATTCTTGAAATAAGATCAAATAAAATTGCTTCTGCGGAAAATGGATCATTTCTTGATTTGGCTTTCTTAAATACTCTCAACATGGGATGGAACGATCTTATCAGTATAACAGCCAATATGTTTCAAGGACTATCTAATCTCACCCAGCTTGAACTCAGTTTTAATAGCATCCAGTTTATTCATAAAACCGCATTCAATTTCCTTGTTAGCTTGCAATCTGTAGAGTTAAGTGGAAATAAATTCCAACAAATCACTGAAATCCAACCCATCCTCCAGCTACCACAGATACAGAAACTTAAACTGTTAAAAAACTCATTATCCTCCTTTGTGACGAAAGACCTGCAGCTTAATTTCTCTTCAAGTCTTAAAGAGTTGCATGTTTCTGGGGATAACATGAAAATGTTTAGCATCACAACTCCAATTCTTCCTCACCTCCAACTTGTAGAACTTTTACGCCCATTCCAGCCGTCTACAATTACATGGTACATATCGGACAAACATTTTCTGAGAAACATAACACATTTATATCTTGGTTGGAAAGTACTTCTCTTTAAAAATATAAAGGCAGTAATGAAGAGTCTCAACTCTCTATCGTATCTGAGGTTAGATGCAACAAGCAGATGGATAGAGAGACGACTTCTGTCTACAGTTTGTAACATACCAACACTGAGGAGTCTGAATTTGATGTGCAGTGACCTTCAGAATTTAACTTTTGAACTTGCATCATGCTCTCAGCTCTTGGAGCTTGATTTGTCTTTCGGTCAAATGGATGAACTGCGAAAAGGTTCGATACAATCAATCGACCGACTGCAGTCGCTGAATGTGACTAACAACAAACTCACCATAGTTCCACATGATATAAGAAACCTCGCCTTCCTCCAGGTCTTAAATATGCAAAACAACACAATCCTCACGTTGAGCTGTGAGGATTTTGTGAACACAACAAGTCTTAGAGAGCTGTACCTCAATGGCAATCGTATAATTGATATCAAAAGTTGTGTGATTGAAAAACTTACTAATCTTAGGGTTTTGGATTTGAGTTATAATCTATTAATGACATTTGGAGACTCTTTTGTTATTCCCCTACAGAAGCTTGAGATCTTGGATGTAATCCAGAACCCCATAAAAACGCTAGACGTAAGCAAATTTCGGCAACTACAGTCTCTAAAAATATTAAATGTGGAAACGCAGCTTTTAAATAATTTACCTTTTTGCAGTGACTTACAGCTCTTGGACCATCTTACAATATATTTACACCCTCGAGAAAGCTTTAAAACCTCTGTTTCAAACTATTCTGAAATACACCTTAACTCACACTCACCGAAAAGTCTCACACTGATAGCCAAAGACCAACCCACCGACTTTGACACAATGAAAAAGTTTCTTATGACTGTGACACCTGCCGAAACATTCACAGCTACAAACATCTACGGAGACCCTCCTGATGGAAGAACATTTAAGTTTACTCCTCAGCTGAAGAGTCTAACTTTAACAAAAACTGATCTTTTGATTGTAAAACATAAAATGTTCCTACCGATCCCACACTTGCAGACTCTGGATCTTTCCGAGTCTGAGATCAAGTCATTGGATTTTCTGATGCTGGCCAATCTTACGGCACTCCGATATCTGAAATTGACAGACAGTGACATCTCTGTAGTCAACGAGACAGTCTTCCAGTACCTTCCATCTCTAACACATTTGGATCTGAGAAATAATCCGTTTACCTGTGAGTGCTTAAACGCAGGTTTTATCCAGTGGGTAAAGAGCAACAAGCAAACGCAGGTATTCAACGCTCATCAGTATGAATGTTCCTTTCCTGTGTCTAAACGTGGTACCTTCTTACTAGACTTTGACGTCAAGACCTGCTGGGAAGACGGCAGCTTTCTATACTTCATTTCCAGCTCTTGTCTGGTTGTTCTGACTCTCCTCACATCCTTTGTCTATAACTTCCTGAGGTGGCATCTCAAGTACACCTTCCAGCTCTTCTGGGCCTTTCTCTACGACAACAGGAAGAGGAAGACCATGAACCCTCATCAGTTTGACGCCTTTGTGTCCTACAACGTCCATGATGAGGACTGGGTTTACAGGGAGATGCTCCCAGTGTTGGAGGGACAGCAGGGCTGGAGACTCTGCCTGCACCACAGAGACTTCCAACCAGGTAAATAAAGTCTCTTAACTTTTTATTTTTATGACAATACCTCCACTGATGTGTAGAGAACTGAGAAATGTTGGTGACTTTGTAAACTTTCAGAGACATCAATGTTTAATAATGGGGACATATTATGAAGAGAAGGAAGCCATGGGAATAAATTTGACAAAGCTTCATTTTTACAAACTGCATTTTTACAGACAGAAGTTGAACTGGAGGATTTCCAGTCATGGAGACAAAGTCTTTTCAAGATAGAGCTGAAACTACATATGCTGTATCCACAGGAAAACCCATCATAGAGAACATCACTGATGCCATTTATGGCAGCAAGAAAACCATCTGTGTGATCAGCCAAAACTACCTGCAGAGTGAGTGGTGCTCCAGAGAGATCCAGATGGCCAGGTGGGGGCGCTATTCTTGAACTTTATGTTTTCTAAATGGAGAAGTATAGTTATATATATATTTATAGACATATAGATATATGTTTACAACATCTATGCATTGTTTGAGGTTAGAGGGTGGAAAGTGTGAGTCTTGTTTGACTAGAGCTAAACAAACATCTGTATTTTCTGTTGTTTGCTTTTTAGTTTTAGTAGATTCTCAGCTTTTTGGATGCTTATATTTAGGGTTATCATGCAGGTTCATCAGACAGTACAACAATCACCACTAATGACTGTTTCAAATGTTATTTCACCTGATAAGAAATGTCTTTTTAACCAAAATTAATACGTTAGTGGTTATTTGCAACAGCTATGACAAAGTCAGGTCTGTTCAGCTTACACTTACCGTTACACATTTATAACAGCTTCAGAAAAATATCTGATAAGTGTTCTTTGACACCTTGCAGCTTTCGTCTATTCGACGAACAGAAAGATGTTCTGATTCTGCTGTTTCTGGAGGAGATTCCTGCTCATCATCTGTCTCCGTATTACCGCATGAGGAAGCTGGTGAAGAAACGCACCTACCTGAGCTGGCCTCAGGCTGCACAGCATCCAGCAGTTTTCTGGCAGAATGTCCAGAGAGCTCTACAGACAGGGGATTCAGAAAATACGGATCAGCTGACCGGACCGGCCGGGCGCTGAGAGAGAGCTGCACAGTGAGTCAAGCAGAACAATTATCAAATCTTTTCTGTTAAAGCTGCACTGTGTAACTTTTAAAACTGTTAGAATGTCTTGACAGAAAATCTGTGAAAAAAATTCAAGCTCCTCTGCAACCAATCAGAGCCAGTGGGAGGGACTTGGCGCTGTCAATCATGCTCACCCCAAACTCTTCTTGCTCTCTGCTCCAATACAACTTCTCCCTGCCAGTAGAGCCTGTTGTGAATCCTCAGGCTAGTTAGCATGTCGGTGGATGAATGTACTGTTTGTAACGATGAGTTGTTTCTTCGCCATTAGAATATTTAACAGCGAGTTCACAAGAGTGATTGGCAGCACTAAGACACTCCTCCTTGTTGATTGGTTGTTTTTGACCAGGAGCGGTTAATTTCTTTTAGACAACTCAGTGAAAAGGTGGAGGAGTGCAACATTTTCACTGATTATCTGTCTCATAACAAACTGTCATGATGACAGTTTCAATTTATCTGGTCCAAATCTATGCCTTAAAAATGCTCCTCTAATTAAAAGGTTTAAAAAGTACAAAAAAATATCAACACCTATTAATTCATCCTCTTTATTTTGCTCCTCTGACTTCAGGATTCAAACTGCTCCTCCAAACCACTCATGAGAACTACAACGTGACAGACGCTAGAAGAAATAAAGTCCTTCCAGCAAGTTTTAGATCCTATTCCTTGAACGTCACTCAATGGAGACCCAACGAATCCATCTTTTTACCTCTTCTGAAGATTCACCAATAAGAGTTTTTTTGCTAATCAGTCTTGTAACCTTTGACATGTTATTACCTGCTTACCAGTTTTTTTCTTAAAGGAGAGGACGGTATTACGTAAAATTGACTGTATTAATGCTTCCATCATTCTGTAATGTTATTTGGTTTTTAAATACATGTCAGGAGAGTTGTTTTGATCCTTTCATGCATGTTTGAGAAATCCTTTAAACTCCAGTAGCCACCATGTGAGGCGCTTAGTCTCATAAAGCTCCGCCCATTTCCACAAAACTCCGCCCATTTCCACTCAGTTCCTCCAGACTAGCGGCAGCAGCAACTGGCAAACAATTGTAAACGGCATAATGGAGTCGCATTGTTGTAAAGATGTGCAGAAGGTGGCCTTCTGCACATCTGCATCAATTTGCAAAGTCGAATTTCTGGTAGGTCATGTTTGATATATATATAGCATATTTATAACAACTGAAGTTACCATAGATACTTTATCGTGCTATAAAATGGCCCCATTTGCCATTATGAGATTTTTTTTTTCTGATCTAGGCGTTAATGCTTTGCTATTTGTGTTTTTCTGAGAGGAACTGAAAACAATCAATGATGCTGATCTTGTGACTCTGAGTTGCTCAGAGACACTTAGAAACGCTAAAGTAAACAAGAAGCAGCAAACAAACAGGAAGTGGCTGCATATCAGGAGGCAAAAGCCAGATTTTAGACATCAAAGAATGAAGGCCACTCCAGTTTGTCACATAAATATTGTCACACCTTCCTCATCAACCTCATGTTGCCTTTTTCTAATGCATGATGGATTCCTAATTCAGATGTAGGGGTTGCAAGTCCTGCTTCTGTTTTTAGATTTTTGCACTCTATGAGTGCAAAACTATTTCTTATACTTTATTCTACCATATTCTGAGGTTTTTAAAAATTATTCTGTAAATATTGGGTTCTTTTTAGTTTTATTGTTCTCATCCTTTCAAGTACCTCAGAAGACCTTAATGCTACTTATATTTTAATTGCCTTATTTGCATCATATCTTCAGTGAAAATAGTTTGTTCTGTGTTTTACTAATTAAACTTACTTTCATTTTTAGTATTAATTTGGTAATACATTAAATATAAAATCTTGGTTTCTGACTCTTTTCTTTCATATGTTTTGTACTTAAGTATGAAACAAAAGATAAATGATGTGATTTGATGAAACACAGAGAAGCATATTCTACCATAAATCTCGCATAATATACAGTAATTAAGTGCAAAATGAAAAAAGAAAACCAGCTTTTAAAAATAAAAAACAGTTATTTTGTAGACTTATCAAAAAAGGTCTTAGTTAAGTTTGCTGAGTAAACTTTTCTTCTTCAAAGCTTTGTTTTAGATTTGACAATTTTTCTGCCTATAAATCTACTGTAAAAAAATAAATAAAATGTGATTATTTAAGCGGGTCAAAACAGGATTTACTTTGTCTCTGCTTACACCAGGATGCTCTCATTATGTAAATTTAATCAAGATGAAAATTAGACAGAATTACATGAAATTGATGTCAAGATCCATGTATTGAGAGGAGAGTTTGGATAAAAGTGACCAGCAGAGGGCGCTGGAGTTTACAGAAAAACAGAGCTGAACTGGAACAATATTTCACAATGTCTGAAATATTCAGCAAAAGGTTTTTGTATGGACACGATTTAAAGAACATATATTTGAAAGAGAAGAATGAGTCTGCATTGGTTACATACTTATCAAGGAAATAAAAAAATTCTATAAAAAATCCAACCTAAATTAAAATATTGAATTAAATAATCATTTTAGGCTTATTTGACATTTCTTAAAATTATTTATGCTCAAATTTCAACACTTAAACATTTAATTCACACTCAAGTACTGAGTAACTCATCATATATTCTGATTTAATATTTCAAATTAGAATATTTAATATTTTAAAATGATATAATTAATTCAAAAATAATTACAATTTATTTGATTTTATGGTTTCTTTTATTCTCTGTTTTGTTGGAGCAAAGTTGTATATCTTTTAAAGTTAGAAGATAACTTTATGGCATATAAAGTTAATCATAGCTTTAAATGCTCAAACATAAAGTTATGAGCAAATTCAGTTATTTCAAAGACATAATATATACATATATAACTTTTAGCAGCAAATATGAGGTTGATTGGCAGCACTAAGACCCTCCTCCTGGCTCTGACTGGTTTTTGTTTTTGATCAGGCATCTCTTCAGGCAGCAATAGCAGCACAGATTATCTGTCTCATATATTACATACAAGACGTATTTTTCTAAAATAAAAGTTACATCTTTAGAAACCACCTCTAGTGACCAAACTTTAAATACACGATCAAACTTTAAATACACGATCCTTGTTTCTTAATTTCTGTTTATCCTAAGCTGAGGAGGTTCTGCATCTGAGACGTTTATCTGGAACCTTTGTTGTTGGTCACCAGTTGGTGAAAAGGGTTTATTTTACTCTCCGTGTTGCGTTGGGGCAAAAGAGGCATGTGATTTGCCGTATGGCGAACAGGAGGGGTATCAGGTCTGGTGCTGGCAGGACGCATGCCTTTGGGAAGACGCATGCAGGGATGGAAACACGGCAGGTGGAAAACAGTGAGCTGCTTTCACAGAGGCTTTGATTCCCTGTAATGCCTGCAAAATGCAGGACATAATTCATTTTAACAGCTTGATGGAGCTGGAGGACGCCCAGATAGACGATAAAGACTTTGTGAAGAGATGGTGCCTCTTCGGCCTTTAAACAAATGTATTGTTTGTAAGATCCACACAACATTCAGGAAGTGTTACGTTTGGTTTAAAGCTCTGTACAGCACAGAACCTGCATGCTTAAAAGACTGAAAGACTTTTTATTGGCTGAATACTGAACCACTCCTCCACATTTAGACCCCAGCATGTCTCATTTGGAGCAATGCACCAGAAAAAAAAAACCTTGTTTCACTGATTTTAAGTTTTATTTTTGACCTTTAAAGGGAAGGGTTTGGGGTAAAATTGTCTTTTTATGCTTTATTTTATGTTATAATACTATTTCATCATCAAAAGTGTCACTACTTCTTAGGAGTGGCGATATGAACTTAAAGTTTTATCACAACATTTTCTGGTAAAAGTGAAAATAAGAACTATTTATTACTTCTTTCTTAGGTCGTTTATGTCTGTGACTGTGTAGTACAGCAATTATATCAACAAATATTACTTTAAAAAATACTTTCATTTGTAAAACTTTTCTTTTAGGACACCAGTCACATAAAGAAGTGTGATTTGTGTCACTTTACTGCACACACTCTGTTTTCACATTTATTGGTATTTATTGATGCTTTTACTGAGTTGAGGAAATAGTAAAAATAACAATAAGGACAGTTTTGGAAGGTTTTAAATGCTATTAATAAGATTTTATCATGACAAAAATAAATCAAATGTATCACGATAAATGATAAATGACACAATAAATACCCAACTCTACATCTTTACTGCAAAAACAACATATTGCAGAGTATTTTTGCTCTCGTTTTTACTGTAAATATCTGAGTACATTTGAAGTCATGCAAAAGTAACTCGCAATTAACGCAATTATAAACCAAAATAAAATGTTAAATGTTGCACCACATTCAACAAAAGCCCTGAATTAAGGAGATTAAGGCCACAATACTGTACTGATCAGTCTTTCTCCTTCATTGTTCAAACACAAAGAATGTTTAATGTCAGTCATTTTCTGCTTCTTCTAATTCAGAGTATCTTATAAAAATAATAATAATTTACCCTCTATCCTAAGATATGACAGTATGAAAGTCAAGATTCCTAAGATTTCAGCTTTAAAGCTGCAGCAAATTGGTTTTTGCAACTTTTGATCCAACCTAATATAAGACAAACTACTTTTTTTTCTATCTCAATTGTTTCCTTCATTCTGCAGAAGGTTTTGTTCCTAGCAGCAAAACAACTCAGCGTGTTTTTCTGCCCCTCTGCACGCCGAACCTCTGGCAGTGAAAAATCACATGATTTGGTGCTTCTCGTTCTCATTTTAGAGATACACCGAAGGTAACATTAGTCTTGTCAGGTGTGCACTTTTCCTTCTGGATGAGTTGAATCTGCAGTCAAATGTCACCATTTTAACAGCTTCTGTCAGCCGCAGGGACGATGATGTCAAGCTGTGATTAGTGCATTAGAGAAAGGCCACAAGTGGGAGCATCTGTTCTAATTCAGGCTTTGAATGTTTTACTATACCAGGTGACAACAGGGTTTTATTTTAACAATATTATAGATGTAAAGTTTGACAAAATTTGTTTATGTAGTTTTTGAATTTATTTTGTTCAGTTAAGAACTTGTTTCTTCGGACATTTATTGTTGTTTTAAGTTTAGTTCCTTGGTGTTGGTGGTTACCATGTCTTTATTTTTTAACTGTTATTAATGTTGTACATTTCAGCTATTTTTAATTTTAACTTCTATTAACTGCCGTCAACTGTTGAATACTACAAATGTTTCGGTTATCGCCCCAACCCTTTAGCAACATTTTCACCAGCGTTGCACTGAAAAGTAGCTTATGTAATGAGCTCATCAGACGCTCAGTTCCGAGAGATGTTTGCTAATTGCTGCTGGCTAGTCTGAAGGAGCTGAATGGGAGAGTGAAAAAGGAGGAGAGTTCTGTAATGCAGAAGCTCTGAGGAGGAGATTGAAGGATTTCTCGTCGATGCGTGAAAGAATCAAAGCAACACTCCACGCATGTTTTTGATATTATGAGAAGATTATGTTACATAATACTGCCCCGTTAAGCACACAACTGTTACCTTAACAGATATTTTTATGTGGCCCTAATAAAACCATGTGGCGGGCTGGATTTGGCCCCTGAGCCTTGAGTTTAACACATGTGGTGTAGACTAAGAGCTTATTATGACCAGAGTGAATAGTTGGTTAATTCAAGATATTCTGACCTCAGTCAAGTCCTTCTACATGAACACGTTAAAATAACGTACCTCGATTAGCCTTCCACTAGCAATGATAAACTCAAGCATCTTCTGTAAGAGTCCAGCCATAATTTGTATCATCAAATTGCTGCTTTTTCTGGGTCTTTATACCTGAAATGCACAGACAGAGGTGATAATTAGCGCTCATGTGGCATGTGAGCTGTGTTTTTTTTTTTTTTTTCCTGCGTGGTGTTGTTGCAGATGCTGTTGTAACGCCTTCATCAAACGTTTAAAATTACCGGCCTGTAATGACACAGCTGTCTGTCAGTGCAGCTGCCGTTTCTAGTGAGCATGTTTGGGATAATTTTAGGTTTGCACTGATTGCAGTCACATGCCGCCTCTTTGCTTTTAGACAAACACGATCTGAACACAAATAGTGTGTTCATGCTCTCTCCCAGAGATGATACCCCGATAATGAAAATTTATATATAATCAGATTTAACATTACGAGTGTGTTTTTATTTGGGAATGCATTGAATACAGAGTTCTTCCACTAGAGGGAGCTCACAAGTCCATGTTGAAGCTGTTTAGCAGTTAATAACTTTATGAATTAGACTTACACTGAAAATCTACACAATGTTAGCAAGTATTTTTGGCCCAGGTTCTGGTCATAAGTAATTGAAACAAGACAAAACTAACTTAGGCATCGTGACTTGTTTTATGTAAATAATTTCTTAACGTTGATTTTAAATAGTTCTGGTTTCACAAACAGATTATTTCACTCATGGCATTTTTCCTGTGTTATAAGTGAAATAAGCTGCCAGTGGAACCAACAATACAGTTCATCAATATTAAGAATTTAACACAAACTTTGACGTAACTTCGTTTTTTTTTTTTTTTTTTTTTTTTACGTAACTTAATTTTTTTTCATATTTATTTTTATTAATTGCTTTTGCATAACACTTTTTTTTTCACATAACTTACTTTTTTATTTTTTATTTATTTATTACATAACTTATTTTATTTTATTATACTACATAACTTAGTTTTTCTGGTTTCCCACTGGCGCGGTTCGTCGTGGGTCCCCAAGCCGCGCCCCGGCCTCAGTCGTCGTGTTTATCCTTTTCTGATTTGCATTATTATTTTCCTTTTTTCAGACATTCTTTGATTAATTTAGGGTCAGATGTTGGGTAGAAGTGGAAAAGAAAGGGAGATAAACAGATGAATAATCTTTTTAAGGCTATTTCCTGCGGAGTGCATTGGATTTGTTCACAGCCGAGTGCGAAGTGACTTAGATACAAATCAGCCCGTCTAACTCAGAAACCAGAGATCTGAACCAGAAAAGCGGAGGAGTTCAAGTATCTCTGTGTCTTGTTAAGTGATGGCAGGAGTCAGACAGAGCAGGAGACAAATAGAAAATCAGAGACTCATCAGTCATGATGAGGCTGCGGTCTGTTATGGTGAAAAAGCGAAACCAGTTAAGCTTGATGTCATCATCTCCAGCAGAACCGTTCAAGATGACAATGTGGAGAAATTAAAAATTCAAAAAGTAAATTTTTTTAGACCTTTTTAGACCTTTGCTTAGATAAGATGCAGGGATAAAATCAGCTTCACATGTAAGGCCACCAATAAATCAGATGGCCGATAAGTCAGTGCACCCCTAATATTTTAATTTGTAGTAACTGTGCAGTACTTTCTGCTTTATTTTTGTACAGTATAATATTATTACTATTCCTGTTAATCTTGGCTTTCATACATATTGTTTTAGCCTTATAAGAACGCTTTTGCCTGACCTTCATACCTGATGCTGTTGTCACACCTGAATTGTTTTTATTCTATTGTTTGATACAAAAAAAGATGTTGTTTGATATTGTGCAGAAAGAAACTAATAATTTTCTTCTTTCTGCAGAACATTAACATGGCATCAGAGGGTTGACTAAACAGAGTTTAACAAAGAGAAAAGTGACTAAATGTGCATGTAATTTTCTTATTTTGCAAAGTGTTATAAGGATCTGACACCAACAGCTCAAAACTGAATTAAATTAATATTCAAAAATATTTTTCTCTCTTCTCACAAAGTCTTATGACCCGCAAACTTTCCAATAGTCATTCCCAGTCTGCCTCCATCCCTCCATAGGCCTCCCAGTATCTCCATCATCACCGCCGTCTCCCAATGAGCGCAGGTCCATCGCTATAGCAACTGGTTGCCACGGGCGACGAGACACAGCCAGCGCCAGCGAGCATCTTCCCCTCAGTTGTTGTCGAAAGGCAGGCGGAGAAGAGAGAAAGGCGAGGCGCCAGCAGAGCGGCGGGGAGAGACACCGAAGAGCTTTCTGTCTTGGCAAAGTGAAACCCGCCACATGTTCAGGAAGATGTAAGAGCAACAAGCGGATCAAGTCGCCCGGATTGCTCTGCCTCTGCCTCCGTCTCCGGAGAAGCTGCGAGAAGATGGTAACAACTTGTTCACACGGGAAAGTGTCGCTTCAGCTCTCGGCATCGTCGGAGTTCAGGTGGTGACCCCGACGCCCTAAAAAAAACAAGAAAACAACCAGCGGCACCCGACGCCGCCTCTGCAGGGTGAGTCCCAACTTACCTTGGTGTCACTTTGAGGGGGGGTTTATTTTATTTTGTTTTATTTTGCCGTGGTTTGTGCCTGTTGGCTGATGTGAGGGCTCAGAATGTGAGGGTTCAGTGTGGTGCAGGGAGGTGAGCCGTGTCATGGACCCTTTCTGTGCCGGTCTGGTGTGATGGCGTCTCCCAGCCGGTAAACACCCAGAAAACTGTGGCCAAAAGCTGCCTCTGTCACTGCAAGACGTTCGCTCAAATCACGCCCAACATTTGCATGGATATGGGGCTTTTTGCTGTTCAGAAGATTTTTTAATTTTTCCTCAGCAAAAATAAATAAATGCAAAAACAGAGTTTGATTAAATAAACATTGATTTGCCTTTGCAGGGTTATGAAGTAGCTTAAATGATTAATGCTAATTAGATATCACCTTAACTATTCATCATCAAGTTATTATTAATTACCAACATAGTCACAATAATCAACAATGATTCACTTTTCCCTCAAACAACGCAGTTATTCATTAGTGCATAAAATTGAAGCGTCATTGGAAAAACACGTTCACCCAGACAGAGATGCTTGTCGTGAAGCAATTTGTTGGGAGAAATAAGAGATGAAATGTTAGTGAGCTCAGTAATGAGCCGCCTTGTCATCCACAGGTTGTTGCTGCTCTTCCTGAAACGTTTTCCGTTTCAATTGTCTGAATTTGTTCCTGTTTTAGTTCTTTTTTCCATGTCCATTTCCAGCATGTGTTTATTCCTTAATTGATTTGGTAAACTGAAAGTTAAGATCAGCTAGAGATCTGTTTACAGTTCTGGTAGAGAAACTCAGCATCGAAAATAATTATATATTTTTTCTCTGGGTGGAATGATGAGAAAAAAAAAAAAAAGACGAAATTTAGTGGAGAAAAAAATTATTTTATTTTTCAAAAGTATTCATGTTTGTTAAATTAATGAAAGAAACACTCAGGTTTGCTGCATTTATTCTAACAAAACAGGAAATCAAGTTGGTGGTCAGCATCAGTCCAGCAGTAAAACCCCTGTTATGAAATGATTGTACCAGAATTACTGAACCCAACCTATAAACTGCAACATGGCGCTGTAAAAAGTATTTGACTCCTAATATTACTTCTGTTCTTACTTTTTGAAGGCTTCAGAATGCTATCAGACAATGCTAGCTAGAGTGAATGCAAAATGCACTTTTTAGATGATTATTTGATTTAGGAACAGAAGAAATATAGTCCACACCAGATTTGGTAAATCTGTTACCAGGACTGTAGAATCAGGCAAATAGAACCTGTTTCACAACAGGAAGTACTCAAAACATAAAGGTACTTCCTGTTGTGCATTATGACAAAAACATCGTCATAATGCCCAAAACTCTGGGGAAAAAAATCTTTTTGGACAGTGTCCATTGTGATGTTGCATTTGAATTAAAACAGAAAAAGGTGGTAGTGTCACAATATAAACTCAAACACACTTTAGATTATTTAACAGGACAACAACTTCAAGCCCATCTTAAGTCCATCTCTGAAATACTAAACAACCCACAAAAATAAAGGTTTTGGTGTGATGTCATCAAAATCTGGACTTCAGTTTGGTTAATACGCTGTAGAATAAACTTTAACCAATTGCTTGAAAACCATTGGATTAGTCTAAATTTACAAGCAACCTGCAAGTTTGCAGTGTTCAAGTTGCTAGTTATTGCAAACGTTTGACGGCGCTCATTGTCTTTAAAATAACTAAATTTTATTATTTATTAAATTTTGTTTGAGCAGAAAACATTTAGGGTGAAATATTTTTTGTTCACATCATAACTTCACACAAAGACGCAATAAATATAACATTTTCAGCAGGTGTTGGTAAGAACCAAAGTAATCCGTACAAAGAAAGAAACCAATGTGAATGCGACGCAGGGAAAAAGTATGGAATAGATTATTATTTGTAGAAAAGCCTTTGTTGGTATTGGTAGTTTTATGAATAAACTAGTAATTTTGGGCCATTTTCCCACACAGAGTCTTTAAATGTTTTTATGCATGGATTACTGGGGCTGTTACCAACATCTGGTGAAAATTTAATCTGAATAGCATCTTTAGAAATATGATTACTGTGAAAAATTGTAACGTTTTCAATACTTATTTTATCCTGTGTATGTAAAATAGAGAAAATTAGTGAAAGGTACTTCAATAATACCGCTGCATATCGAATGTTTGAAGATGGATGGATGGATGGATGGATGGATGGATGGATGGATGGATGGATGGATGGATGGATGGATGGATGGATGGATGGATGGATGGATGGATGGATGGATGGATGGATGGATGGATGGATGGATGGATGGAAAGAAATGAAAAATCAACTGAATTTTACCAGAACCAATAACTTGTTCTGTAATTCTCATTCTGGCCTACTGGTGGCAGCATTGAGCAATTATTTTAAACTCCACAAATTGATACCGATTTATTTTAACGTTCCAGCACAACCAAGATGTGGCTTATTTATTTAACACGTGGGAACTTAAGAATTAAGAAACTTATATATTTTGACCTGCTATATTAAACTGGTAGTTATACAAATTCAAGAAGTTTTATTAGGAATGAAAAATGTTTTTTAGTTCCCATTCAGATGCAAAATAACTTGGAGGGCAAATTTAATCAGGAGTAGCTGGGGGAAATTATGGTGAGGTTGATTGTAATTTTGCCTTCTTTGTATTTTTTGAAGTTTGCTAATTTTGTGAATGGAGCGACTGAAAAATATAGTGTTTTACCAAGTTGCAATTTTAAATGTAGACCCTTCAGAGCATTGAAATTTCTTCTAGCATGTTCTTTTTAGAATGTAAAAAAGAGCTGCAATTGATTTCTGGAGTTATTGGCTTTCAGCCGCAGTGACCCTCAGCTTTAACAGAGCCTCCTCTGCCCAGAATGAAAAGTGCTTCTTCTAAAGAACTCCAACAAAAGAGATGGAGATGCCTCGTCTGTTCATCCACACTTCAGTGCACAACAGTGGACCAGTTTTGCTCAATAACTGGGCTGCAGAAACCTTAAACTTGCTTCTGTGATAACTGTGCAGACTGATTCGGCTTTGGGCCGCGTTTCGCTGCAGCTTTCTCTGAGAATCTGCTTTAATTTGATCTCAGTCCAAATTAAAATGGAATTTGTTAGAAATTAGAGCAGATGTTCTAACAAGGTGCAGAAGCATTGTATTTTTAATAAGAGTTATCAGAAAATGTAATGTTTTGTGCATTATTGCTTTTTCTGCGTCCCTTGAATGCTTCAGCTGCACACTGTATTATATATTTGGTCTTTTAAGAGAAAAAGAATATCTGAAGGATTTAATTTGGAAACAAGTTGATGGAGGGGAATAAGAATATATGATACATTTTGTGTAACCTAGAGAAGAAAATGCACTGAAAAGTGAGTTGAATACATTTATTTGTAGTAAAAAAAACACTTAAAAGTGGAAGCATTATGTATTTAACATGGTGCGACTTCATAGCACAATCAAATAACTATGTTAACTTCAGTTTTCATAAAAATGACATATCTATCAAATATTAACTTCGTAGTTTAACTCCTTGAAAATGGGGCTCTGTCTCTTTAAAAACTACTGCTCTTTCTGAAACTCCACTTTCGTTCCTCTAGTAATGATTTTAAAACGTTTTTACAGAGACATATTTCCTACAATGAGCTCCACAGATGTGCAGTTCCACCTGGTGTTTGCTAATAACTGCTGGCTAGTCTGAAGGAGTTCGGAAACTTGGAAGCAGCGGCTCTGAGGCGGAGCTGTGCCTCAAAGGCGGAGCTAAGTCCACCCAGGCATTTTTTACAGCTGAATGGTATGACAGTATTTCTTAGACATGCATGAAAGAATTAAGGCAACAGAGTAGCCATGATTTTAATGAGAGAATGACATGATGTTAAGATTTTACATTACTCTGCGCCTTTAAGCAGAAAGTTTTCCATCTGTTTTTGCATTTAAAGTCAGTAGGAATCGACATGTTCTGATTTTTCTTTCCTCCTTCTGAATATTTCTAACTCCCAGAGCTGAGTTAGTAACAGAAGCGTTTCTGGTGATCAAGAAGCTTTTATTTTAAGGTTGTTTTTTTTTCACACCATTCGAGGTGAAAGTGTTAAAACACACCGAGTGAAAATGCAGTGACGCCAAAGCTGCTGACATCCGGAGACGGCCCCGGAGTGGACGGCGTGCCGTCAATACGAACCCGAATCCCAGACAGAACAAATGATTGAATATGGAGAAGAAAACAGATTAGCTGTCAGATCATTTATATACAGACTCAACCTCTCGCCTCTCGCTTTATATTTAGATTTCTGTTCTGTTCATCTTTTTTGTGTTTGTCTTGTCCATATTTGCTGACTCACAGAGGGAGAACAAGACAACTGGGAATCAATAGGAAGACAGAAATAGCACCTGAAAGCGAGAAACACAAAGGTTTAAATTTAATTACCGAACGACAGACCACAAATATAGAGACATTAATGATCTCAAAGATACAGAAATAGACCTTAGAGAAGGAAAAGATAAAACGCACTAAGAGAAGAGCAGGAAAGAGGCTAACAAAGATCAGTTTTTGCTAAATTTGCCTATTAAGTTTTCATTGTGGTGAAGAGTGATCTCATATTAAATTAAATTCCTGTAGTGATTATTGAGCTACCTTCAATGATGTCACCTTTTATTAATCAATCACTTTCACAATCTAACTAAATTAATCTGAAGGAAGCATCCACCCTTTCCAATCTTTGTTTCATGAAATCAATCATTTTTTATTTCTCTTAGGATTTTAATTCATTTCGATTCATGAAAAAAATGACATTTTAAGCAACAATTACATAATAATCAAAGAATTTAAGAACTGCATCTTATTAATTATCTCTTTAATGTTCTCTACTGACTAGAATAAACAAATATTTGTATAAAAACAGACAAATGTGCTTTTTTCTTCAAAAACTGCTCCAATGGTGATGCTTTGTCACCGTAAAAGTCTCCAACAAT